CACCTCTTTACTACTTCTCTGACTACTCCATCACTTACGAAGTTCAGACCCATCTGCTTGCACAATTCATTTAAGAGCCCTGTTGAACATCGCGGAAATAGCGCTCTACAAGCTAATTGATTGAGTGGTTGAATTGATTGATATACATCATATATGTATGATTTATTCTATATATATGGGTTGTACCATTGTTACCAAGTGTTAATTCAACGCTATATAATATCTTTGCGGTGATTTTAAGATGGCGGTAATGTTTGGGAAATTCCATTTAATTGTAAGGGTAGGAACGCCGTGAACCGTTAGAGTTTTCCTACTTCTAAGTCCACGAGATTTTGGCTTGTATGAAAAATAGACCTATTTTCCAAAATATTTTTATTTTACTAAACGATAAACCACTTTTCCACAAAAATTTTTACCAAAAAAATCCACTTTATGTTAATGCATGCTGTCACCCCCTCGGTCAAGACATTTCATTGTGATATGAAATAGATTGCCATTGCTTAATCGTTCCTCTTGGATTCGATAAATTTTTCTTGTTTTGGTCATCGCATGGTTTCTTCCTAATCTTGAGTGTTTTGCTTTTATAAATTCAAGGAAAACCGGCTAATTAAAAATTAATAAGTAAGTTGGAGTTCTGGCTTTTTAATTGTGAATCTTATTCTTATTCTGGCTACTTAACTAATTGTTTTTACTAAAGTTTGCGATGCACATTGAAATTAAAAATTATTTGTATAATTTATAAAATTTTATTAATTAAATTAAATAAAAGTAAGAAAGCCACCATGTATTTTTAGATAATATTTATTTTTATTAAAATTATTTAATTTTAACAGTTTATTTAACTATTAATCTAACTAATTAATTAAATTGAAAATAAACAATTATTAGTGAATGTTAAATTAAATTAATAAAAAAATAGATTAATTAAAAATTAAATGCAGATCTGTTGTTGTCGACTGATGTGATTGTTAGCCATGTCTAAAAAGAGATCTCGTGTTAATTATTCTGAGAAGTCCTCAGAGGTTGGTATCAAATAAATAATAACAATAATAATAATATAACATAATATAATATAATAACAATAATAACAACAACAATAATAATATATAGTATATTAATTGGCATTCATGTAATTTTATATATGATATTTTTGTCGCTGGTTAGCTTAGAGAGAGATCTTATTAGTATTTAAATTTAATATATAAGACATTATATAAAACATTATAAGTAATCTAAGGCTCACACTGACCTATTAAAAGCGGCCACAATCATGTGATTATGACCAACTTCCTTTTCAATCCCAACATTCTGGATTAGAGTAGGGAGGGTAAGGTTAGGTTAGATCATAGGCATTTAGTTAGAGCGCCCATATTTATTGATGGTAATATGCTGACTATCTTAAGAATTCTTGTTTATCGAGATCTATGTAATTGTTTTTGATCTCCGAGGTGAACTAATGTAAATTATTTATTTTTAAAATAATTGTGAAAATATTAATCAATAATTTGTTTCAGAATGTAGGAGACACAAGCGAAGAAGAGACCGGTAACAACCAAGTATGTTCATCTTTTATGTTCATCTTTTATGTTCATCGTTCATCCTTTGTGTTCAATGTTCATACCCAATTTTCATGTTCATTGTTATAGATATTTGGTGTCCATCTTTAATGACATCATATTCAAGTAATCAATGATACTCCTTGAATTAAAAATAAACCACAAGAATCAGTTTGTAATATTCGTATTTACATTCATCGATAACAATTGAGTTGCGATGTTGTTTCACTTTCAATTCATTCAGTTGAATCTCCCAATGCACCTTCCCCAGTCGATCACATAACTGCATTACATTGCATTGCACAGGTCAGTGACGTTGATTATGGTAATGCAAGTTCCCAGCAGCCATCAGAATCTGAAAACTCCATCGACTCGTTTGATTCAACGAAGAAAAAGAGGAAAAAGTTGAGTACCTCGACTACCAAAATGAAGCCTGTCATTCCTGGAGAGAGGAAAAGTAACAGAGCCAGGAAGGGGAATGTCGAAATGGTAGGTAGGTTGGTTGGTTGGTTGACTGGTTGGTTGACTGGTTGGTTAGCTGATTGGTGGTTGGTTGGTTGACTGGCTGGTTGGTTGGTTAGCTGATTGGTGGTTGGTTGGCTGGTTGGTTGGTTGGTTGGCGAGTTAGTTAGCTGATTGATGGTTGGTTGGTTGGCTGGTTGGTTGACTGGCTGGTTGGTTGGTTGGTTGGTTGACTGGTTAGTTAGTGTTATACACTGAAAAGATTATATAAAAGAGAATCTAAAATTCTAAAAAACAATTTAACACTTCGATGACAAATTATGAAACTTGATAGAGAGAGCTTACAGACAGGGAGTTTGAGAAGATGCTGGAGGAGGAAGAGGAGGAGAAGAAGAAGAAGAAGAAAGGTAAGGAGAAGGATGGCAACAAGTTCCAGCACAGGAACAGGAAGTCCCATTCATCTTCCGCGGCTGCTGCTGCTACTGCTGCTACTGATGGCAACAATTCAGAAGCTGGTAGTGCCTCCAATGAGGTCGGTTGTTGGTTGTGTTTGAGCATTTAATTGTTTATTGATTTACTTTGTTCGTTAATTAATTGATTGATTGATTTATTAATAGATAATTATTTAATTGACTAGCTGGTTGGTTGTTTGGCTCTGGTTGATTTTGTTTCATAAATGAATGAATGAATGAATGAATGAATGAATGAATGGATGGATGGATGGATGGATGAATGAATGAGTAAATGGATGAATGATTGGATTGATTGAAAAATTGTTCTGGCGTGGCGAGGTGTGCATAGGATTTACATAGATGTTACAATAAAAGTCATCAATTAATTCTCCACTCAGGCATACTTATAGCATGTTAAATTTATCTCTCAAATCTGCAGCCAAAAGTTAACAGGAGGCTGAACAGACCAGCGAAGAAGAATGTCGGTGAGAATGATGATGAAGAGGATGAGGGTAGTGGAAATGAAGTGAGGGGCTCTAGTTGTTGTTGTCGTTGTTGTTGAGAAGTGTTGTTGTTGTTGTTGTCGTTGGTGTTGTTGTCGTTGTTGTTGTTAATTGTTGGCGGCATGATGTTTGATTCACTATACCTTATCCTTTGGTGTTTTTATTTTCAATTTGTTTTATTTATATATCTATTTTTGTGTTAATTATTTTTGTGATAAAAATTTTTCCACATTAGCAATTCAACCAAATCAACTATGGTTCAGTGAATATCATTCATTCCACCGCCAAATTAATGAGACAGCAATCATCCAACTACACTACAACTCGATCAAATCAATCCTAACTAAATCAGTACCCACATACATATGTAATGCGCAGACGTTATGCATGTATTACCAGTCATTTATCTAGTCAACCAACCAACCAACCAGCTAACCATCACTAGCATAACTATCTCCAACAATCTTTCAACCAACCAACTAATCACTCATTCAGTCAGACCATCTGTGGTACTGTGAGTTGTGTAAGGATGGCGGTGACTTGCTGCTGTGTGACACGTGTCCCAAGTCTTACCATAAGGAGTGTCTCAAGTTGGAGATCGTGCCTGACGGAGAGTGGAGTTGTCCTGTCTGTGTAAGTCTGTCTGTCTGTGTATTTACCTCTACGCGTGTTTGTGTCTGTATGTTTGTGTGTTATAACTTATGTTCATGTTTAGTTGCAGATGTAATTGAATATCTGTAGCAAGTTGTTTGATTTATTTTTCTGTCAGTTTTCGTTATATATGCATTTAGTTGAGTAGCATTTGTAGAAATCAGGTTATTCTAACATGTACTACGTGTTTCTGTTAAAAATATTACTCTCCTTTAAAAACATTCTTCATGCATAATGGCTCGCAAATACGAAACCTAAAATTTGTTTACATGCAAGCGTGCAGACAAGTGCAAAATCTGACGTACACACAATATATAAACATACACATGAGGGGATAGTCTAACCCAACCTGGAATCTCCATCCAGAAATTTAAAATGCACTTAAAGGCTTTGTTTAATAAAACGTTTTATTGTCATAAACTATCAATCAATCAGGCTACAATTGATTGATAGAATTGATTAATTGAAACTGCTATAAGAATGCTTTTTGGATGAGTGTATGTGTATATTAATACTAATACTAAAGATACTAACAAAAATCACAATTATGTATCACCACCATTCAGACGGGGGAGGGCTTGCCAGAGAAAGGTGACTCGTCTGAGGAAGATTTCCATGAGACATTTTGCAGGTGGGTAGATTTGTATGGGGTACGAATTTGTGGTGTGTGTGGGTTTTTTTGTGTTGTTTGTTTTTGTGTGTGTGTAGGTGTAGGTGTGTATGTGTGTTTTTACATTTTATATTATTTACACGCATGCATTTGTTATTTGCAATGCTTGCACGTATGTTTGTGTAAAACGTCGTTGATGTAGTTTTGTAAACATTATGTACATTTTCCATTTATCCCCTTTAGTTTATGCTCATTCATCCATCCATTCATTTATCCATCCATTTATCCATCTATTAATCCATCCATTTATCCATCCATTTATTCATCCATTTATCCATTCATTTATCCATCAATTTATCTAACCATTTATCCATCCATTTATCCATCCATCAAAGGTTCTGCAAGGACGGTGGTGATGTCGTCCTGTGTGACTTCTGCCCACTGGTGTACCACATGTCCTGTCTCCACCCCCCGATGAAGAATCTGCCAGAGGGAGATTGGAAGTGCCCCATTTGTGTGGTCAGTCAATCAATTGTGTATTATTGTGTGGTCAGTTGTGTGGTCAGTCAGCTGTGTGGTCAGTCAATTGTGTACTGTGGTGTGGTCAGTTGTGTGCTGTTGTGTGGTCAGTCAATTGTGTAGTGTTGTGTAATCAGTTGTGTGTTGTTGTGTGGTCAGTCAGTTGTGTACTGCTTGATGTTCGGTTGTTGTGTGATGTTGAGTGATATATCACTCTTGTTGATTGGGACGTTCTACAACAATTTGATGTGGCGATGAATGCAAGTTTCTTACTGTTTGTGGTGTATTCTATTTGTTAACGAGTTGTAACCTACGCACATATTGTTATTTTAATTTTTTTATAAGAAGATTATAAATTAATATATACCATTTAATCATTTCGGCTTTTAGCAATAACGTCGTTTAAAAATCTTCATCACGTTGTTGTCCCCCCTCCTCCCTTAGATCAAGATGAACCCACCGAAAGCCAAAGTGAAGCAAGTGTTGACGTGGAGGTGGAAGCATCAGCCGAAGGATGCAGATGAACTGGACCACACACACTCACCACAGAAGCAGGTGATAGATTGCGCATTAATGCGGCGTGCCTAGGTTCTTTATGAAAAGTTTAATAAATTAAGATCATACTAATTTATGATAATTAGGGTAATGTAATTAATTTAGGATAATTAAGGTTGATAGGTAAGCCTATCAACATTATTCTCTTTCTATTAATATACCACCAAATTGGTCCAGAATACAGTCAGTAATAAGCTGAAAAAACATTTTGTTTTTTTTTATTTGTTTTCCTCTGCTTTTTTATCAGATTGCTGGTTCTGCTGCTGATTCAGAAGATGGTACTGCTAAGAAGAGGGTGCGTGCTTTATGTTATCTGATTGATTGACTAATTGATTGGTTGATTGATTGGTTGATTGATTGGTTGATGAATTTATCTCACGAAAACAGCCCGCTCGTAACGAGAAAGAGTTATTCGTGAAGTTTGAGTATCATTCCTATTGGGATTGTTCGTGGATCGCTGAGATCGAAGTCAGTGACTTTTCGTTTATTTTCACAATTTCTTCTTTTATAGCAACTGTATACTTCCTTAATTCATCTCTTCTGTTGCGTTTCTTCATTTGTTATTTATTTAAAAAATGATTTACTAAAATATTTTTTAAAATGGAAACGTTGAAAAACACAAAACAACAACTAAAACTACGACAACCATTCCATGAATCAGCTGGAAGTGCACCAGCCAATCACGCACTGCAACTTCAAACGGAAGTTTGACATGAACGAGCCGCCCGCCCTTGAGGACGGCAGCAGTTTCGGGAGGCCGAGGCACAAGAATGCATCTTCGGAGGACGACCCACACAACCTGGAAGAGAGGTTCTACAGATACGGAATCAAGCCGGAGTGGCTTCAGATACATCGCATCATCACACATGAGTTAGTAGTTGGTTGCTGTTGGTTGCAAATTGTTGGTTGTTGTTGCTGGTTGGTTGCAAATTGTTGGTTGTTGTTGCTGGTTGGTTGTTGGTTGCTGGTTGCAAATTGTTGGTTGCTGTTGCTGGTTGGTTATTGGTTGCAAATTGTTGGTTGTTGCTGGTTGTTGTTGCTGGTTGTTGTTGTTATTGTGGTTTAGGCCAGTTGTTAGTTGCTGGTTAAGTTGTTGTTGTTGTTCCTTGCATGATGTATGTGTTGTTGGCGGTAGGAGTTAATTTCTCTATTGCTTTCATTAGTTTGTGTTGTCATTTTCGTTGCCGTTATCGCGTGTCCTACCTAGTGTTGTTGTATTGGCTGACGTTGTTGTTGGTTGTGTGCGTATGTTGTATACATTCATGGAGTTAGCAATCACACCATTCAACCAACCAACCATCGAAACTGCAGTGGCAAGAACAAAGATCGGAGGTACCTCGTGAAGTGGAAAGACTTGCCATACTCGGAGTGCACCTGGGAGTACCCCGGAGAACTGCCCAAGGGATTGGAGGGCTTTGAGAAGTACATTGAAATCTATTGGGACAGAAGGTTTGTCATGATTACGTGTGACGTCAGTGATGATAGTTATGATACTCAAAAATATTTTGGTTGTTAACCGAAATATAAGGGCACGAACGACTGATAGACATTTATTACTCATTTAACACCACAGAAAACAAAAATTGGCAAAGGACGACCGAAAGTTTGAGCCGCCGAAGAAGTCACTGCTGCGTAAGAAACTTGAGAAGCAGGCACCATACTTTGATGAGTGTGGAGGGAACTTGCACCCCTACCAACTGGAGGGCTTGAACTGGTTGAGGTTCTCGTGGTCGCAGGGCACCAACACCATCCTCGCTGACGAGATGGGGCTCGGTAAGACAGTGCAGGCCATTGCATTCCTCTACACACTCTACAAAGAGGTTAGGCGGTCTTCGCGGGATCTGCTTATTTGTAGATTTGTCAATATTGTACAGGTTTACAGCTTTCATTTAGGCTGTTATTATTTAGAAATCTCGTGCTAGTTCGGTTAATTATTATTCTGGATTCTCCTCAATTAGCCAGTCACAGATTATTTATTTATACTGTTGAAAACAATTTGTCACCTCGACATCAGGGCTACATCACAAACAAACCATTCCTCGTAAGTGCCCCCTTGTCCACCGTGCCGAACTGGGAGAGAGAGTTTGAGTTCTGGGCACCTGAACTCTACGTGGTCACCTACACGGGGGTCAAGGAAAACAGGGTTGTACTCAGGTTGGCTGGTTGAGTCATTAATGAATGGATGAATGAATGAATGATTGAATGTATGAATGAGTGAATGTATGAATGAGTGAATGAATGAATGAATGAATAAATGTATGAATGTACAGGCGTGGCTAACAGTTTTAGTTTCAAGACATAGTGAAGAAGTTATACAGCATAATATGTTACATGACTTTTACGAAATACAAAAACATTACATTTGGTTATGGTAGCAAGCATTTATCAGCTTAATGGCTTTTGAATAATTTTTATAATTTAATTCAATAGTTCAACAAGTTAATATGTGGCCTGCTTAAACTTTTGGCACCATCAATTATTTTATTAAAACATAACAAAAGGTAAAGTAACAAAATACAATCGGCTATAGTATTACTTTTGGTCCCTGATCAGGTAGTTCCGACACACGCAGTACTGTTTACATACACATCTTTCTATACTTATTGTTGAACTTTCGCGCCACAGAGGCTGCAACATCCACATCTGCTTACGTGTTTTGAATGCACACGCAGGCAGGCAGGCACAGCATCACACGCGCACTGCATAGCGTGTGATGGTTTTTGAGTTTCAGACCGACTGCTTTCGAACCAGGTCATCGTGTAATAACATCACGAAGCATGCCACTTCTTCCGACTTAGCTAACTCGTCGACTATTTAAAAAAAAATTGGTTAAATTTTTTTTTCAATATTTGAAAAAATTTGAAAAGATAGATAAATTTTTTAAGGGAGATTCGAAATAGTATCATTATGTTGACGATATCGTTGTATCATTTACAACACAACTAACCAAACGAACGAACGAACGAGCATTTAAACAAACAACCAAACAAACGAACGAACGAACAATCAAACAAACAAACGAACAACTAACCACTGACACACAACTGACCAGAGAGCAGGAGTTCAGTTACAAGGAGGGGGCCTTCGCAAGCACCTCGAAACCCTGCAAGTTGAAGGACGGACACAAGCCAAAGTTTGACGTACTTCTAACCTCGTACGAATTCATCCACATGGACTTCACGACCCTGTCGTCCATCGAGTGGGGCGTCCTCATCATCGATGAAGCCCACAGGCTCAAGAACAATCAATCCTTGGTTGGCTGGGATGATGATTGTGATGGTGATGATGATTGTGATGGTGACGATGATGATTGTGATGGTGATGATGATTGTGATGGTGATGAGGATTGTAATGGTGATGATTGTGATGGTGATGGTGATGAGGATTGTGATGATGAGGGTGATGATGGTGATGATAGTCAAGTGGGTGGTGACTGCGGTGATTAGGAGGTTGATGAGATGATAAAAGTGAATGCGAAAATGATGGTGGAGTTGAGGTTTGGTTATGGCGAGGAATAGGATTGTGGTGGACTGTGTTGGGATTACGATTTCTATGACTAAGTGAGAGGTTGAACATTCCTGATATTAAATTCTAACGCACATCCACACACGCATACACACATGCACGTACAAACTTTTCCTAATAACGACAACGACGCTTAACAGTTTTTCAGAACGATGGCGGACTACAAGATAAACTACAAACTCCTACTGACTGGCACTCCACTCCAGAACAACCTCGAGGAACTCTTCAATCTTCTGCACTTTCTGGAGCCTGAGAAATTTGCGTTGGTTCATTCAGTTGATTGATTGATTGATTGATTGGTTGATTGATTGATTGGTTGATTGATTGGTTGATTGATTGATTGATTGATTGATTGATTGATTGATTGATTGATTGATTGATTGATTGATTGATTGATTGATTGATTGATTGATTGATTGATTGATTGATCTTTTAAAAGTTCTTTTTGTATAATATTTAAAAAGTTAGAGTCTGGCAGAATTTTACAGTTTTTATATTTTAATTTTACAGCTTTTGTTGCGTATAAATGTCTTTTGTTTGACACTATTCAATTGTTCATTAAAAATTCTGTTCAATCGTGTGTTGGAGTCGGATGGAAAATATCCAACTCCATCACTTTGATGCAAATGCAAAAGTAGCATACCAAGTTTCAGCTGTCACATTGAATGGAGTTTTTAAATTAGATCAGTTTTCTTATGATGTCTATCCACACTAATGGGCGGCGCCATGGAGTAGCGGTGGAGTGCCTGGCACTGCTGTTGCACTGACCAGATTCAACTGCAATGAGATCCCCCGCTATCACATCACATGCAATGTCTGTGATGCGTTGTTTCACCTGTGCTCACTCACTCACTCACTGATAAATGGATGAATGATGCAATCACTTTCCACTCACTCACTAATCATTGCGAAATGAACAGGAACATGGATGAGTTCTTGAGTGAATTTTCAGAGATCTCAAAGGACGAGCAGGTGCTGAAGTTGCACGAACTGCTTGCCCCGCACATGCTCAGAAGAATGAAGATGGATGTACTCAAGGATATCCCATCCAAAAGTGAATTCATCGTTCGTATCGAACTGTCTGCAATGCAAAAGTTAGTTTGTGTGTGTGTGTGTGTGTGTGTCTTTGTGCGTGTTTGTGTGTGTGTGAGTGTGTGTTCAAGGATTTTTTTAATATTGGTAGAGTTGTTTAGTTGTTCGTCTGACTGATTGTGTAATATATATATCGGATCAGTATGAAATTAAATAGAAATAAAGTTAACGATATTCTGCTTCCTTTCTCACTCCAAGTATAATTTTCACACAATACTTAATGGTCATTTTAAAGCTTAAAATAGCACACGCTGCTAGCACAACAAGACGACAACAACAAACACAACGCACAACAACAACAAACGCGACAACGCAACCACACAACAACACAACAACAAACACAACCATACAACAACAACAAACACAACCACACAACAACACAAAACACCTACCACCACCACAGAAAGTACTACAAACACATCCTGACGAAGAACTACGAGGCCCTGAACGCCAAGGGCTACAGCAACCAGACCTCCCTCATCAACATCATGATGGATCTCAGGAAGTGCTGCAACCATCCTTATCTCTTTCCAGGAGCCGAGAAGGTTTCCGTCCAGTGATGCTTCTGGATGAATGGATGGATGGTTGATGGATGGATGGATGGTTGATGGATGGATGAATTGATGGATGGATGGATGGTTGATGGATGGATGAATTGATGGATGAATTGATGGTTGATGGATGGCTGATGGATGGATGGTTGATGGATGGATGGTTGGTTGATGGATGGATGGATGGATATATGGATGGATGGTTGATGGGTTGATGGAAGGCTTATTAAAATGGTGGATAGATCATGGATTGGTGGACGAAGGATGGGTGAATGATTTGATAAGTGAATAAGGCGGTTGAACGGATGCATTGCTGGTTTGATGACCGAATGGTTGGATTCATGGATTGATTTATAGATGGATTAATAGTTGAACTATTTGATTGGATGGATGGATGGATGGATGGATGAATAATCCATTAAATTGATGAATAGCGTGATTTTTAGAATTAATTTATTGATGACGTCGTAAATGTTTGACTGCATGGATATTAAGGTAGATGGAGAATAAATTTAAAATGATGTTCATTGTAAAATATATTCTACGATTGTTTATTTCGAAATGATTATTTGGATGAATTAATGAATGGATATATCATTCATTTTCTGGTTGGTTATATAACTAGGTGAATGAATGAATGAATGAATGAATGAACGAATGAATGAATGATTGAATGAATGACTGATGGAGGCCTGGATGAATGACAGATGTTCAGGTGTTGAATGATTGCATGCACGATTCATTGGAACATCCCTCTCACCGCAGGACGCTCCACTGACCATGATGGGGATGTATGAGGGGACGAGCATGACGAAGGCCAGTGGCAAGCTGGAGATGTTGGATAAGATGTTGAAGAGGCTGAAGAGGGATGGACATAGAGTACTCATCTTTTCACAGGTGCGTTGCAGCTGCTGATGATGATGCCCGCTGTTTGCTGATCTTTTTTTTGTTGGTGTTGCGATTGTTTTGTTGTCGCTGTTGTTGTTGTTGTTGGTGGTTTTGTTGTTGTTGTTGGTTTTGTTGGTTTTCTTTGTTGCTGTTGTTGATGGTGGTGATAATAATGATGCCGAGGATGATGATGAACATCAGTGACACACAGCCAGATACTATCACCATCATCATGATCATCACTATTGTTATGATGAATGACCTCAAATGACCTCAGATGACCCGGATGTTGGATATCATGGAGGACTTCCTGACCGCATTCAACTATGGCTACGAGAGGATTGATGGCAGCATATCTGGAAACAAGAGGCAGGAGTCCATCGATCGGTTCAATTGTTAGTCATTCATTCATTCATTCACTCATTTACTCACTCACTCACTCATCCTCTTACTCACTTGTGGTGGTGGTGAGGATGGTGAAAGTAACGATTGTGTCGTGCCATATGGAGATGTGCTTGCGTGAAATGATGGGGGTGTTGATGATGTTTTGTCGTTGTGTCAGGATGATGATGAGGAGGAGGAGGAAGAGGGGAGGATGTGGCGGGCGACTGTGTGGATGGTGTGGCATGCTACTGCTAATGCTCATCGACTTTTGAAGAATTTTTATTGAAGTAGCTTGCAGTTTATTTCAACTTTTCATGCCACAGCTCCTGAATCGAGCAACTTCGTCTTCCTACTGTCGACCAGAGCCGGAGGGCTGGGTATCAACCTGGCCACTGCCGACACGGTCATCATCTACGACATGGATTGGAACCCTCATAACGATATTCAGGTTGGTCCCTCTCTCTAGAGCACCGCAGTACTTGGTGTGTGTGCGTGTGCGTGTGTGCGCGTGTTTGAGTATTTTGCATGATAAGATGCGTTACATGATTAAGAGTTGAGCACATTCGTGTCGATCGAGATCAAGACGTAGTACATTCGATTGAGCCAACACAGCAGCACTTGCGAGCCAGCACTTACACTGCTGCACATCTCCTGGCAGGCATTCAGCCGAGCGCACAGGATCGGCCAGAAGAACAAGGTGATGATTTACAGATTTGTGACGAGGAACACAGTGGAGGAGAAAATAGCGCAGGTCTGCAAGCAGAAGATGATGCTGTCCGAGTTGATTGTGCACAGAGGCATGGGAGGAGGCAGCCTGCAGACCAGCGAGAAAACTGACTCCCTCACCAAACAGGAGATCAGTGACATCCTCAAGTACGGAGCCGAGAACTTGTTCAGAGATGATGAGGAAGGCCAAGGTCAGTCGACTATTGAATTCATTTTTTCTATTAGTTTTGAAGTTTGTTTATTTTTATTCTGTTTCGTTCTCTAAGCATTTGTTTATCATAATCAGTTGTTGCCTTTGTGTTTTTTTTGCATTTTAATTAGATTTTGTTGTTTCCAAATGATGCTACTCAAAAGTTCCACAAGCAAGAATGATGTATGCTTGTTATATATATATTTTTTTAGGTTTTTCGGGTTTCCTTTTTGTTGTTGATGAGTGGTGTTGGGATGGTTTAATGATTTAAGTTGGAGTTTATATGCACGGCCATCAATCGTACAACAACCATCAAACATACAACAACCATCAAACATACAACAACCATCAAACATACAACAACCATCAAACATACAACAACCATCAAACACATACACACAATCAACCAGCACACATCTATCCAACCAAGAATCCCAACACACAACGACCACCAAACAAACAAACACACAAACAAACAGTGGTATACAGCGACGAAGCCATAGAGAAGTTGCTCGATCGATCGATTGAAACTGTGGTAGAGAAAGAAAAGGAATTCGGGATGAATGAATACCTGAGGTCATTCAAGGTGGCCAGCTATCAAGTCAAGGAGGGGGTCGACGATGTCAGTTGGTGTTGTTAATTACTTGATATTCATCCGTGCACCTACACTGACAAGTGAGGGGTTAAATTAAATTAAATTAAATTAAATTCTTGGAAATCGTTGAAGGAGGAGGAGAACGAGGACAATGCAGACAACAACGACGATTCCTCGCAGCAGACCGGCGCCGACGACCGCATGGATGCAGAGACAGACATGCAGTACTGGCAGAGAGTCCTGGGGCCAGCCTACAACGAACACATGATCCAGACTCTGAAGGAACAGGAGGAGCTGGCCAACAAGCTGGGCAAGGGCAAGAGGATCAGGAAGCACATCAACTATGCCGAGAAGGAGATGATGGATGCTGCCGAGGCTCTTTCTAAAGTTGAGGTGCGGTGTGGTGTGTTGTGGTGTGTTGTCGTGTGGTGTGTTGTCGTGTGGTGTGTTGTCGTGTGGTGTGTTGTCGTGTAGTGTGTTGTCGTGTGGTATGGTGTGGTGTTTGCTTGCTGCTGCACGTGTCGTGTCGTGTCGTATCGGTGGTTGTGCTTTGGTGATGTTTGTTGTTGTTGTTGTAGTTGTTGTTGTTTGCGTTGATTTGTGGTACATGTCACTCAATTATATCCATTTATAATTACTATCAACAACAACATCCGATGCCGAACTATTGGTACTTAATAACTTGTTAATGGCGGGAGACTGACTAGGTACCGTACTAGGCAGAGTGTAACTTGAAACCTCCCATGTGCCACTTACTTATTGTACTCACTCACTCACTCACTCATTCATTCACTCATTCATTCACTCATTCATTCACTCATTCATTCACTCATTCACTCACTCACCTGATGGCTGACAGGCTCGCAAGAGGATCGTGATGGAGGAGGATGTCACCTTCCAGTCCGACTACGAACCATCCTCTACATCCGACGAAGGTATGATGATGGTGGTGATGTTCATGATGATGATGATGGTGATGTTCATGATGATGATGGTGATGATGATGATGATGGTGGTGATGCTACTACTAAAACTAATGATGATGATGACGATGATGATGGTGGTGATGCTACTACTAAAACTAATGATGATGATGACGACGATGATGATGATGATGACATCACAGAGGGTGGTTCAGGCAAAGAGGAAGATGGCAGTGAGGGTGGCAAGAAAAGTATGTAGTGTGATGTGATGATGCTGGTGGTGATGTGGTCTGTAGTGGGGTGATAGAGTAGTTGTTGTTGTTGTTGTTGGTGGTGGTGGTGACGATAAATGTGGTGATGTCGGTAACATAACCTGGTAACTTTTAAGCCTTTTTTCATCCTTGCAATGTTCAAATCTGTTCAAACTCCGTACTCCTCATTAAAATTAACAAATTCAAAACTCCATACTCAAGCGTTTTCTCGATAAACTCGTTTTAAAGTTTAAACATTCTTTCGCTAAACTCAATCTGAAACGTAAAACCGCCAAACTAACAACAATCAACGAACCACCGTCCAATGAACAGAGAAAAGTTTGTTGAAGGGACCGCCCCCTCCCCTGCCCCCATTGGTTGACAGGATTGATGGACAGGTGCTCGTGTTGGGGTTCACAGCCCGACAGAGGCGGGCCTTCCTCGATGCCGTCATGAGATATGGCATGCCCCCCGAAGACCCTTACAGATCTCAGTGGTTTGTTTCAGTGTTTTATTCGATCTTCATGGGTTGTGGGCGATGATGGTGGTGGTGGTGGGGATGGTGATGGAAAGTTTTGTGATGTGTAATAATGTGAAATAAACGGACATCATTATTTTATTCATTAACTTCCGGTTGGCTGTTATGTTAAGTCAATGATTGTGGATAACTTCGATGCATATGTAACCTAAAGTATATACACGCCAACATATTCCACCGACATCACTGCACTCTGGATTGTAAACTGCCTCCGAACTCTCCAGGCTGGTCCGTGATCTGCGTGGCAAGACCGAGCGCAACTTCAAAGCCTACGTCTCACTCTTCATGAGGCACCTCTGTGAGCCCATCTCCGACAACTCGGACAAGTTCGCAGATGGCGTACCCAGGGAGGGCCTCTCCCGACAACACGTCCTCACTAGGATTGGCATCATTGCACTCATCAGGAAGAAGGTACTGGTCGCTATATTTTTTTTTTTATTTTTTTTTTATAAGTTGTATTAGCAAACAACTGCACTGAAACGTGAAGCTAGCAACGAATCATAACCTGAGAGAATAATAACAATAGCATATTCATCACAATATATGTAGCCAGTTATATTTATACAAATAATATTATAATATTTAAATATTATATTTTCTTAGTGGCGTAAATACGAATTTAAATGTTATAAAAGTTGATGGTTTTTCTTTCAAGACGTGTATTTAAAGTAAATTCTATGCGAAAAAAACACGTCTGCGTTTTGTGTAAGGCTGTACCGCAAAGCTCGTGCAAACTTTTGCATCCATAGTAAATTAATAATTTACAACTTTATAATCTTTCTTCTCGTTCTCATTGTAAATGGTGCATGGATGAACAGGTGCATGAGTTCGAGCACGTGAACGGCGTGGAAAGCATGATGGAATTCAAGCATCGAATGGCAGTGACGTCACCGACGAAGACCTCGAGCCCCAATGACCCGACAGCCGCAACGGCAATCGTCGTTACGTCATCAACCACATCCACAGCTGGCAGCCACATCGGTGATTCAACAGTTTCAACAGCGTTACTAATGGCATCAACTGCCGATTCGACAACATGCATCACGACATCAACAACCTCTACTGTGACGTCAACAGTTTCAAAGGAGGACAGAACATTAACTCTAAACAACGCAGACAACGACAGCCAATCAACCATCAACAACAATACAGACAACAACCAATCACTGATCGTTGGCAGCAGCAGCAACAACAACATCGAGGATGACGTCACGAAGATGGAATGCAGTGACGACAAGATCGCCACTTCGAAAGTGGAGGTAATGGAGGCTGATGTAGCCGATGACTCCACTGCCGGGCCCACCAATGCTGAAGATGCCGCTAACAAAACTGGAAACCAAAATGGCACTGGAGAGGGAGATAATGATGGAGATAAGAAAGGTGGTGTTGATGTTGATGGAGATGTTTCTATGAAGGAGGTAGGTGATGGTGCTACGGTTGATAGTTCAAACACTGACGTCACTGCGAGTGTTGTTTCAACGTCATCATCAGCAGCAACAACGACAACAACAGCCGCAACGACAACAACAGCCACAGTAGCAGCAACAACAACAGCACAGATTGAAAACATGGACACTGCACCACTCATGACCAGTGTGGTCACCTCACAGGAACCAACAACAACGTCAGTGACGCAACCATCAACAACTACAACAAAAACTTCAATAACTATGGCAGACTCATCAGCAACGACATCTATGACGTCATCATCATCCTGTGTGGTATCATCATTCAACAACACCATTGCACCTCCTCCCTCTGTTGAAAGTTTGAATATTTTTTTATTTTATTCTTATTTATAACTTTATAGCTTCAATAAAAAAAACAACATCATAATTTGCTTACAACATTTTAGATATATCATTCAACATTCACCCACAATCACATGTATTGACACATAACACACACACACACACACACACACACACACACACACACACACACACACTCACACTCACTGACACACAGGCGTGTTACTGTCCAGCATGAAATCAGCATCTGACATCAGTGCAGATCTAAGGAGGAGGTTCTGGATAGCGGATGGAGGATTCACGGAGCTGCATTCCCTGTGGGAGTTGGAGGAACAGCAACTGCTCTACAGGAAGGAGTTCGAAACGTGGCACAGGAGGCATGACTTCTGGTTGCTTGCCGGGGTCATTACGTTAGTGATGATGGATTGTATGGTTTGGATTGTAGGGATCTACCACTTTCATCGTCGTCTTCTTCTCCTCTTTCTCTTAGTGACATGGTAGCTCCCATTTTGATGCTACTGTGTTCCAAGTGTCTTGTTCTCTTTAGATTTTGCCATAATATTGCAAGTGTTTTAGGTGGTTTATGAAGTTGTCTATGCTTTTCATGAGTTTGGAAGTTGAGGCTGATGTTCTTTTTTATTGCAAATTTTGTCACGCTTGCATTCGCTTCCATCAATCACCTTTACCATTATAATTGCCACCATCACGAACATTACCACCGATACTTGTTGACATCACCATTTTCACCATCACCACCTTCGCCATCATCACGTCATCATTACGTCATCATTACGTCATCATCACGTCATCATCACGTCATCATCACGTCATCATCACGTCATCACCTGCTTGCTCTCGCACAGGCACGGCTACAGGCACTGGCAGGACATTCTGAGTGACCCGAGGTTCGACATACTCAACCAGGCCTTCAGGTCGGATAGTGAGAGGGCACGCAAGGCCGCTTTCCTCAATAGGAGGTTTCAGGTAGGTGGTGGTGTGGTGGTGGGGTGATGATGTGGGTGGTAGGGTGATGATATGGATGGTGGAGTGATAGTGATGATGATGGGGATTAGGGTGATGCTGTGGATGATGATGATGATGGCAGTGGTGGTGGTGGTGGTGATGGCGAAGATATTGATAATGATGGTGGTGATGGTGAACGTTGTAAATATGGGGGCCGTTGTGATGAGTGAGGACAGTGAATTAAGAAATGTGAATCGCCAGTGCACACCACACATTCATCGCCATGGTAGAAAATATGCTACCAATGGTAATGAATAAATAAATATTTTAGAATAACTTCGTCACTTTTCCTATTTTTATTTGGAAGGTAAATGTCGAAGCTAAAAATTGTAAATATTTGTAACCGTGGAACAGCTACTGGAGCAGGCGATGGTCATCGAGGAGCAGCTGAGGAAGGCAGTTTCCGAGAACATCCTCAACGTCGAGCAGCCGGTGTCCATCAGCTCCACCGATCCACTGCAAGCTCTTCAGAGGTCGGTTGGGGTCATCGTTTTGTATCATGATATCATTAACGTTATCATTTTGTATCGTGATATCATTAACGTCACCGTTTTGTATCGTGATATCATTAACGTTATCGTTTTGTATCGTGATATCATTAACGTTACCTCTTTGTATCGTGATGTCATTAACGTCATCGTTTTGTATCATGATATTAACGTCACCGTTTTGTATCATGATATCATTAACGTTATCATTTTGTATCGTGATATCATTAACGTCACCGTTTTGTATCGTGATATCATTAACGTTATCGTTTTGTATCGTGATATCATTAACGTTACCTCTTTGTATCGTGATGTCATTAACGTCATCGTTTTGTATCATGATATTAACGTCACCGTTTTGTATCATGATATCATTAACGCTATCATGTCTTACATGCTGTCAGCCATGTTAATAATGCGAAAGTCAAAATCGATGGCGATAAGTTTTATTGAATTAAACCCACTGTCGTGTATCATATTTTGTTAAAAATCTCAGACAACCCTTCAATTGTTTGGACAAGTTTTTATCAATTAATAATGCTTTTTCAAGCTGTAACAACTTATGATTGATTTAGACAGCTGCAGTAGTAGTAGTAGTAGTAGTAGTTGTTGTTATTGTTGTTATTGTTGTAGGTAGTAGTAGGTAGTTGTAGTAGGTAGTAGTAGTGTAGTAGTAGTAGTAGTAGTAGTAGTAGTAGTAGTAGTAGTAGTAGTATTTACTACTACTACTGCTGCTACTACTACTATTACTAACTGTAACAGATTTTGATTTTTAAAAGAGTAATAAAAAAAACTTAAGATGGTGATGATGGTGGTGATATTGATAATGGTGTCGGTTGATAATTTATGATTGGTGATGATGACGATGAGGAAGATGTTGTGGTATTGGGGTTGCTGGTTTTAAGCGGTGATAATATTAAGATGAGGATGATAATGTTGGGTGATGATGACGATGACGGTGATGGTGGTGTTAGTGATAGTTCAATTTCCGTGGTCATCATCATTATTATTACTTATTGCGTATCTAGTTGCCTCTTTGGTTTCCTTATTTAGTTAATCATTCACTCTAATTGTAAATTTAATTGATCGATTAATTAATTGGTTAGCAGATTAATTAGTTAATTAATTAATTAGTTAATTAATTAATTGATTGATTACCTGGCCACCAGATTACAAATGTTGGATGAGCTGGCAGCTTCTTTGAAGAATCTCAACTCTGAAACTACCACAAAATCGAGCAAGAATTCAAAGCTGCAGAAAGGTCTGTTGCTATTATTACAATTACCACTACTACTACTACTTCTAATATTACTATTACTGCTACTACTACTGCTGCTACTACTGCTACTATTACTACTGCTACTACTACTACTACTTTTGTTGTTGTTGGTATTGCATTATTAATACTACTACTACTACTGCTACTACTACTACTACTACTACTACTACTACTACTACTACTACTACTAATAATAATAATAATAATATTGTTGTTGTTGTTGTTGCAGTGTTGGGCCAGATAACGGTGTTGGTGAGTGACATAAACGACATGTCGTACATCAACATGCCGGCCAGCCTCGCCAAGCCGTACACGGCCACCATCGTCAGACCGCAGCAGAATCTCAGTGCCAATAGCATTCTTAACAAGGTAAAGTTCTTCTGCATGTCTCTGTTTATTTGTTTGTTTGTTTGTTTGTTTGTTTGTTTGTTTGTTTGTTTGTTTGTTTGTTTGATTGCTTGTTTGTTTGTTTGCTTGTTTGTTTGTTTGTGTGATTGTTTGTGTGATTGTTTGTTTGCCAAGTTGCTTTTAATATATAGTTTAAAAAATAGTAATTAATTAATTAATTCAAACTACTAATAGTACTACTTAAAATACTGCTACTAATCAACAAGGTACCTGGCCTGGCACCTTCTTGGAATCAGCAGCAACAGCAGCAGCAGATGTCGGCAGTGAAGACATCCCAGCAGATGTGCATGGCGGGTACGACGAAGACATCAGTCTACAGCCACGTGGTACAGACGCATCAAGCCAATCTCAATAGAAGTAGGAGTGATTCTGCTTTTTTTTCTTGGTCTCATTTTTAAGATTCCTTTTTTCTACGTTAATGAAAATTTATGAAATTGTGAGTTATTTTTTCTATCTGGTTTGGTAAAGTCCCGATATTTGAAGAGAAATCTGAAAAGACTGTAAAGATTGAGGCTTTTGCTAGCTTGCAGTCAAATGTTGCTTATGTGCTAAAGGTACTCTATTTGTAGAATCTGTTATGCCGCTGATGTCGTCAGAATCAGTCAGGTAGGAGATGTCTGAAAGTACCACACGACCTGCAGCTGACGTTCAATCTGTCTTCAACAATGGGGACACAAATTGTAACTTCATTTGTGTCCGGGCTGAAAAAATTTTTGCTTTTGAAGAATAACACGGCTTGGCTCGTTAGTCTCCGTTTGGAGTTGCAAGACTTCGCAGAAGTTCGCGAGTCGTGATTAGGTTAGAAATAGTTGAGTAACTGAGGTTGACACACTTGTAAGTTGTCGGTAAATAGGTTCGGCACATGGAAGTGAAACTTGTTTTTTCTTTTGGTTGATGATAATGTTACTCATCCAAACCCAACAAAAGTTTGCACGCCTGCTGCTAAACTTGATAATGGTAATAATGATATTTCCGACAGATTCCCAACAGGCGTCACCATTGACGAGCAAATCGGCCAAAACTCCAGCCAACAACAACGATGATGACAAGTCTAAAGATGTCATCTGCATTGATTGACATTTTTGAACTGATTGATTGATTGTGCATTCGTAAATGAATTTTTTTATTTTTAAAAACTGATGATGAAAATTTTTCTCATTCTTTTCATATTAGAGTTATTTATTGCCCCGTGGTACGTGGCTTTACGATATAAAAGTATATAACACGAGCATATAACTTCAAATCATTGAAAAGTTTGCCTCTTCTTACTACGCTCCTACTGCTCTTTCTACCGGAGGTCTATCCAAATGTTGTTGGCTTCTGAGATTAAGGAGATAAGCAAAAACCTTGGCAACTATTTTTGCACCATTATTATCATAAGCTTTCACACAATAAAACTTGACTAAGATTTTTAAATTTTGCATAAAAGTTATAAAAAAAGCACCTCAAACAATAGGAGGAATTAGCTTTATAAAAAAAAACGTTGTCTCAGTGTTAATGGTAAATTGCAATTAAAAGTAGATGCATTTCCCCAGCCCCCTAACTTGAAAAATGAGACTGAAATTGTGTGTGGAGTTAGTGTTCGGTTAGTGCCGTATTTATTTTCGTTAGTACTGGTCCCCTGTATGGAGTACAGTTGGGGGGCTCGGGACATTTTAGCCTCCCCAAACGCCGCTAGAGACTTAAAATTCACACTATCGTTAGTGCTCTTAGAGCTGTAATAATTATCGTTAGTGCTGGTCTTGCAAAAGTGATATGGCTGGGGGGCCCAGGAAATGCCAGCCTCTCCAAATGTCACTAGAGGCTTGAAATTCATGGTATCATTAATGCTACGTTAGTGCCGTATTAAATTTCAATTAACGCTAACTATGTTGTGCCACATATTTCAATTGTTGTCATATATAATTATACTTATTCAGTATTGTATGAATTCTACAGAATTGTTGGCATTAAATTGTTGATAAAATTATACTTATTGTATATGTTGCGTTAGTCGGCGAACGCGCCCTTATAAACACTTGCTCAAGTTGTGGACATCGCAAAATTGTAGTCGTCGTTTAATTCATACAGTGCTATTTCCATGACATTTGACAGCGCTTCAAAGGACGCACTATCATTGTGTCATACAGGCAAGGGGCATAATAACTTCCGTCACACGGCGTGACATGCTTTCGAACCCGCTATCGTAATGTCATGGCAGACAATCACAATAACCACTATACTAGAAGTGTCTATGGTTATGGTTTAGTGGTTTGAAGATATGCAACGTCAGAGCATGTACTTATGCAGATCACTTGAGCGCTGTTGAGGATTACGGAAATAGCGCTGTATAAATAACGCGACGTTTACATTTTAATTTTAAGACGTTTGAAGTGCTTTTGAAAGTCACCAAAATAAGTGCTCCCGGTGTTTGATGCTTAATAAATACAAAGAGTTTTACATGATCGCTTCGCACGTACTTAACCCAGCAATGCAACTTGCAGTATTCCTGCTCTGTTGAACGTTGCGGAAATTGTGTGTATAAATAATCGGCGTTCGTTTTTCTTTATATTTCATATAATGCAAGCTATTTCATTAAGGAAGCTTTGATAAGGTAAAACAAAATTGTGGTAAAGCCAACCTTAAACAACGGGTTGTTTAAATCATCAAAATATAGCCAATTAATTAACTTAATTGATAACGAATCTACTACCAACAGTCAAACTTTTTAACAGTTTATCGCCATCATTTTCTGAATGTCCACTCATTAACTCCCTACTGTTCATGATAAGTGATTTCATTATTTTTCGAATTAAAATCGGTTTATCAAATTAAACCATTCAAAGTATGTGGTCTATGGTGAAGAGGTTAAGGCGTTTTTCGAAATAACGCGCCTTATATGTCTGATGCGGTGAGAGTCCGTGCGCTTGTACAAGTCGTTTGCAACGTCCCAGAAATAGCCCTGTATAAAGCTTTCTGTGGCAGATATTAAAGTTTCACATGCATTCGATTGAATTGGCCGTTTAAAGGTTATGAAACAATGATGTCACTGTTATCATAAATAATCTAATTTTAATAATAATGACTAACAAGAACTGTAGTGGAACCATTATTGAACCATGCAATTTTGCATCGAAACAGATTACCACACACACACGCACGCACACACACTCCACAGTTACCCACATGCACAGAACCGAATTATATACAAACATAAACAAACACTGCATCCCATCACAGCATCCCATGCATCTTATCCAATGCATGGGATGCAGTGATGGGACCAGTCAGCAATAAACGATGTTTCCTGACGTGCTCACATGCATTTAATGCTCCGAAGCATCAACAGGCCTGGGTTATTTTACGCATTTTATCTGCACGTATGTATGCGTGTACGTATGCGTGTATGTACGTATATATCTGAGTGTATGTATTTATACGTTTGTGTGTTTGTTTGCGTGGGCGTGTGCCCTAAGTATACATTTCTGTGTGCAAATACATGTTTGTGTGTGTGATGTATGTGTGTGGTGTGTGTGTGTTTATGTATACGCGTTCGGTAGAATAATAAATGCAGGTTCCCAATATATTTTATGGTTATCTCTATACGACATTTAAATACTGATAGAAATTAGGATGCTGTGTAGTTAATGCATTTGTCGTTCATTCTGCCTATTTACATACACAATATTTTATTTTAAATGGACATTAAGCTTTTACGTTTATCATCCCATTGCTAAGTAACTTGTTTGCATGTTTGTATGTTTGTGTATTTGCATCTTAACGCGTTTGGGAGATGGGGGAATTGCCTCCAATTTAAGTTAGCTGGAAGAAAGTTTCATTATAAAATACTATAAAAAAACAGGTTGAAACAGATCAGTGTCTTTTTTGTGCAGATTTCTGAAAAGAGCTGAAGTACACACCAAGGGGGTGGGGGGAATTATTTTGTTGCCTCCAAAATTCAAGGAAAGATTGATACCACTGTATTTGGATGCTTACAAGTTTACCAAAATGTTTTTTTACATGCCTGTATGTTTACATGTTTGTATGTTTATTTGGATCACCTGTTTTCATATAGGTTTTTATATATATATATATATATATATGTGTGTGTGTGTGTGTGTGTGTATGTGTGTGTGTGTGTGTGTGTGTGTGTGTGTGTGTGTGTGTGTGTGTGTGTATATGTTTATAATGTATTCTCCGGTTCTAGATGGGCGCACGCCCACACAACCATAACCTCCAGTGGAATTTAAAGTGTAAGAATGAAAATATTAACTAAAAAAATTAATAATCTATCATTAAATAAAGATTTCTAGTTAATTATTTTATATTTTTATTTAGAAATATTTAATTTTAGATGATTTATTCGGGAAAAATCGGCGCCTCTCTTAATGATAATGTGGTTAAAAACAGCAGGATGATGTTTGTGCTGCAAAACGTGTTGATGTATTTTTTCAAAGCAGTACGCATTTTATTAAGAGAAAATGAATCTAAATTATCAATTTTTATTTGTTTAATTTACAATAATTAATACATAATTATAAATAATTTTTCTATTATTTAATGTTGAATTTGTTTTTGTTAGAGTTTTGAAACAAATTTTATTGTAAATTAGATCATTATTTAAAAAAATGCTATTTGTTAATTAATAACATTACATTATTTATAATAGATTATACAATTACACACCTAGAATTACAAATGTTTTTATTTTAATTTATGAAAAATTCTTATCAAAAGTTAAATTTCTTATAGATAGTGGAGTAATTAATCTAATCTAATTAAATTATTAAATAAATATCGTGATGCCTGTTAAAAAACAAGGTGAATTGAATATTTAGTTTTCTTGCCTGTTTTTATTTCTGTAAATTTTTTATTTCTTTTGCAATTTGTTCAAATAATTTGCAATTTTATTTCACATTTATTTTAAATATACAAAATTGCTTAGTTTTTTCAAACTTTTCAACAGTTCAACCTCATTATTTTGAAATTAAAAGAATGAATTATGAATAGATGAAATTATTTATTATTAAAATAAAAAATTTAGTTTTATAAAAATTTATTTAGTATGGGTGGATTTTATTTTAGAAAATATATTTTCAATAATTTTTTGTTCCTAAAATAATCAATTTAAAAATAAAATTGAAAAAACATTAAAATTTATAAAATAAATTTAATTTTTTTAGCATTTTTTAAAAGAAACAAATCCATGAAAAAAATTAACAAAAATCAGTTGGGAAAAAAATATCAAGTTAACAATAAAAAATTATTTAACTTTGAATTCTTTGATTAATATTTCATAAAATCATCAAGATGCCCACCGAGCATTGGAGTTGTTGGAAGCCTACCACGACAAACTGACTGACCACCAAGATCTCCCACTGAAAAATGCCATAGAAAATGTCATTCGCATTTTCAAGAGCTGCCTATTTCAAGCTCTACTTGGTTATTATAATTAATTTTTATTCTAAATAATATTGATTACTACTATTAATTAACATTCATTATTATTATTATTAATATTCATAATTATTAATATTACTGGCATTACAATTTTTTATTATTTTGAAAAATTTTTTAATTTAATTTTGTTTTTCCTGTCGGTTTATGTATGTTTGTGGTTAAATGGTTTAGAGCTTGAAGCAACATGTTTTGTTTTATATTTGTATCGTATTTGGCTTTGTATTTTATGTATTTGTGTAATATAGCATTTGTGTCGTATTGCATAGTTTTATATTGTATTGTATTGTATAGTTTTTTATTTTATTTCTATTGTGATACAATCATTTGGTATGTAAAATAATTCTCCGACGACACTTTATGCTCACAGACATCCAGGAATTTTACGAGGTGACCTTGATGAACAACGAGAAAAGTGTCCACCAGAAAATGATGGAGACCCTCTCGGTGGCCACCAATCTCGAACTCAACTCTGAGGCCCTGGCATTTCCAATTGCTTATGAGGTCAGTGATTTATTTCTGTTGTTTTTTTTTTGACAATTCTTTTTTTGCTATTTTTCAGCAGTTTTTACAAAAACAGCAACGTATAGCTGTGTATTTGCTCAAGTTGGCAGATGTTGCTGCTGGCTTGTACCCATCAACATTTATTAGTACGTAGTGATGGTTGGTTCAGTTTTGTAGTAGCTTGGATGGAATACAAAGAGATTCCCATTTATCACGTGACGTCATTACGTTGAAACGTCATTTCAAATTAGCACATCATCCCAATACAACTTATAAAGTACACATCAGTGCCATTCAAGTACTATTATCACAAAAGCAACCCGGTACATTGAAGTTTGTTGAGGTACACATTCGAAGATGTAATTTCATTTTATTATTTAAAAATATTCACATTAAATGTTTATGACTGTCTCCCTTCATTGGACCTGCCTTCAGTATATATTGATGAGTTTTCTTGTAAATGTGTGTCTGTATGTGCGTGTGTGCGTGTTTGTTTGTGTATGTGTGTGTGTGTGTGTGTGTTTGTATGGGCAGTGGTCGATTTTAAAACAGGGATATAAATACATGTTTATAATTTGTCTGGTGCAGGACTGCAGATCTACTTACATGCGTCTTTAAAATATTTTATCATACAAACGTGAGCGTATATGCATGCATATGACCGCATAGCAATATGATACAACCCACTTTATGAGCAAAGGAACAAATATATTTGTTGAAATTATTCAAATACGTACACACACTCACGCGCACACACGCGCACACACACGCACGCACACACGCGCACACACACGCACGCACACACGCGCGCATACACACACACGTACAAGCTTATAAATAAACACATGAGAAAACGCACACACACACACGCACGCACACATGATCGCAACAAACTCTGCAGATTACATCGGCCTCCCGCCTGGCCAACTATCAATCATCTCGTAGCATCTCGGGACTTCTCCTCCCATTTCAGAGCAGCAGTTCAACGACGAGTAGCGGCGGAGGTGGCTGCAGCAACCTGGACCCCACCCCTCCCCCCTCCATTCTGCCTCCATCCTCCAACAACTCCCTGCCACCGACATCTGCTCCACAACTCCCACCCACATCTCCTGATTTCTCGGATGTCTCGTCACAGCAGCACTCCGTCATGGACCAGCAGGAGCAACAACTTCACCATGGAGGCAGGGTCAGACAGTTTGGACTGGGGAGGTCTACTCCCATGATTGTTAGTGTGGTGTGAGGTAGGGTGTGTGTGTGTGTGTTCGTGTGTGTGTGTGTTCGTGTGTGTGTTGTATATGTGTGTCTGTTTTTGTTTGCGTGTGTTTGTGAGTGCCTGCACGCTTGTAGTGATCAGTTTGTGTAATGTTTGTATGCGTGTGTGTGTGTGTGTGTTTATGTGTGTGTGTGTGTTGTGTGTGAGTGTGTGTGTGTGTGTGTGTGTGTGTGTGTGTGTGTGTGTGTGTGTGTGTGTGTGTAGTGTATATGTACCTGCATGTCCTAGCGTGTTTGTGGTTTGTGTGCAGTACAAACCTTGAATGGCCTAGGCAGTTGTTGACAGATGAGATGAATGAATACAATTAATTTCAATGAAGTTTTGATTGGCAGCTGATGAATGAATGAATGAATGAATGAATGAATGAATGAATGAATGGATGAGTTGAGTAGTTAACATGTCACTCTATCGTTAGGATTATTATTTTGGTTATTACTATTTTTACTGTTATTGTAGGTATTATTATTATTGTTATTATTATTATGTATTATTATTATTGTTATTATTTTAAAGTGAAATGTAATTATACTTGAGTCCCGGTTACATTTTTCATCTTTCCATCGTAATGACAAGAAGAGATTTTTGAATATTTAAAAAAAGTTTTGTTTTCACGTGAATAAACGCGTTTTTCCATCACATGAAGAATATTTTTTTTTTTGCATTTTTTTATTTATTAACGTGTTATTCATTTCCAAACACTGTTTGTCGGCATTCGTTTTCAAAAAAATTAGATTTCAAAGAAATGTCACAAGGGCATACACGCACACACTCAGTCAGCAAGACTTGCTGGCTCATGGAAAGCACAAAATTTGTATACTATGTGTTTTTTTGTTATATAGTTATTTTTTATCAGAATTTTTTAAACAAAATTGCAGATATCAGCTTGGGAAGTTGCTCTCAAACTTTAAAAAAATTGTTGACTCATTTTTTAGCGATTAATCAATCGATTTTGCTCATTTTTCGATGAAAAAACAAGCATTTTGAGTGTGCTGCTGTAAAAACATGGCTCTCAAGTTTTCCCGCGGTGCTTGCTCTGGCTTTCTTGTTATTGATATTGAACGTCGCAATGCAGAAGAACCTTACATTGAAAATTACTGACCCTTTTTTAACGCTAACTTGCTCAATTTTTTTCTCCAAATTTTGCTGAAAAAACACACATTGTGGGATCGCTAGAGCAAGCAAATATGCTACTCAAGTTGCTCTGACAACATCTGATATAAAGGAAGGAGATACTGAGGCGAGTGACAGATGTGAATGGCGTCGAGGAGTATTTCGGTTTCATCATAGGTAGCCAAACGGAAACCCCCGATCTCGGGGAAAATGTCGTCTAAACGTGTGTTGTGTTGTTGTTTTGATATAGAGGAAGAAGAAAACAATTAAGCAGGCAACTGAATGACGATGTAAGTCAAGAAGTTTAGTATCTTAATATAAAAATTTTCAATCACACAACAAAATTTCAAACAGAACGCACACACACACACACACAGACACACACAGTGCTTATTAAAAAATTTAAGGAAATTACAGAGCGTTATAAATGTAGTCGGAGCGCTCAAAGTGTAGCCGGAGCAGAATCGAATGTATCTGAAGCGCGCTATGGCTGACTTCTTAGGTGGCTGGGGCATTATGCAGATTATTGTAATTATTATTGTTGTTATTATTATTATTGTTATTATAATTGTTATTACTGTTCGTTTTAAACTAACTGTATCTCGTTGTACTCGTTTATTTCAAATGATGAGCATCGTAGAATACTATTATATTGAACTTAATTTAATTCAATTTTATTTATTTTATTTAATTAGATTTTAATTCGACTTTTATCTCATTTTACTACATTTCACGTTTTTCTGGAAATAAAAGAGAGTTCACATTATTATTACAGTGGCGTATCAAAGAGGGGCAAAAGTATTGCTTATTGTTAGCGGAAAAAGTGTTGTTTTTGAAGAAAAATTGACATTAGCGGAAAAGTTGGCCCCCCGTTGCAATGTTGCACCCCCCCCACTTGAAATACTGAAAATAAATTTTCGAAAAAAATTTGTGAAATTCCCCCGCCACCCCAGTCGGTCATTAACTTTTTGTTGAAAATTATCACGAATTTCTGAAAAATTATAATTCCCCCACACTGTCGTGAGATATTTTTGAAAATCTTGCCCTCCCCCGTCAAAGTTGTCTTCTCGATAGGCCACTGTTCGTTGTTATTGTTAATACTTTGCTTGCACGGCTGCTTCTTGTTCAAGGAAAAAAAATGTTAAAGGAAAAAAAATGTTCAAATGGAAAAAATTTTCAAGTTCCATGAATAATTATTTGACTGACGTTTGCGAATGTTTTCCATTTTGGTTAATATCATCATCATCATTATTATTATTATCATTATTATTATTATTATGATTATGTTTGTTATTATTATTATTATTCAGACTCAGATTCTGGATTCGAATTACGTCTACGAGACAATCACACTGGACAGAGTGAGTTTCTGTGGTTGTTGTTGATATTGTTGTTGTTGTTAATGTGTTGTTGTTGATAAAGTTGTTGTTGTTAATGTGTTGTTGTGTTGTTGTTAATGTGTTGTTGTTCATGTTGTTGTTCATTTGTTCATGTTGTTGTTCATGTCGTAATCATTCCATTTTTCCTAATTTCACGTTGCTTATGCCGATTTTATAGCGCTTGTTTTGTGCAATTTTTCTACGTGGTTTCCGAGTACTGGTGTGTATAGGATGTCAGAAGTAGGTGCATAAGAGATGTAGTGGTGTGAGGGGGGCACTGAAAAAGTTGGAAGGCACGTTCAAATGTAAGAAGTGTGTTCATGGTGTGATTAATAGGACGGACGCAAGGACGGGGTTGAGTGGTGGTATTGAAAGAGTGGAAAGCTTTGTTTATTTAGGGGTTAAGCTGAACGCGGATGGAGGATGTTTGAACGCTGTTACGACTGGAGTTCGTGTGGGATGGATGAAATTTAGGGAACTTGGTGGGGTATTGTGTGGAAAGAAATGGTCAGTGAAAATGAAAGGGAGGGTATATAAAGCTTGTGTGAGAGCAGGAGAGCAGCGATGGTATATGGTGGTTAAACTTGGGTGTTGAGGAGAGAGGAGGGAAGTGTACTGCAGAGGGCTGAAAGAGCTATGGTGAGGATGATGTGTGGGGTTAAAGTGAAGGATAGGAGGAGTAGTACAGAGCTGATGTCGAGGATGGGACTGAATGAGGACATTGTGACATTGATAAGGAGATCGAGATTGCGGTGGTATGGACATGTGTTGAGAAGGGATGAAAGGGTCGGGATTAGGCGAGCGTTGGAGTTCGAGGTTGAAGGAGTGGTAGGAAGGGGTCGTCCGCGACTGGGATGGAGAGAGCAGGTGGAAAAGGACAAAGTGAAAGCGGGGTTGCGTGATACTGAGGCGAGTGACAGATGTGAATGGCGTCGAGGGGTATTTCGGTTTCATCATAGGTAGCCAAACGGAAACCCCCGATCTCGGGGAAAATGTCGTCTAAACGTGTGTTGTTGTTTGTTTTTGTTCCGAGTACTGGTTCGCTATTGTGAACCCTTTCGTTGCTTCCTTTGTGATATTGATTAGGATATGTGATTAATTTATTTATTTATATTTGTTTTTTTTTATTATTATCTTTTTTTTTATTTTACAAGGTTTAATACATTATTTGACTTATAAGAACATTAATTATTTTAAATTTATTCAGTATAGACTCATAGGTTTATTTAATTTATTGTTCTAAAATTGTCTTAGTTTTGAGAAGGCACAGGGGCGTTTCGTCTTCGCCTTTGTTTAACGTAATAATAATAATAATAATAATAATATTTAGTGTTACATAGATGTTGCAACGTCTTTACGTAACGTTGACGTTTAAAGTGCACGTTTATGTTAAACAGGGGACGAAGGGGTTTGGATTCAGCATTTCAGGGGGGTCCAACAATCCGCACATCCCTGGTGATCCCAGCATCTACGTCACTGATATCCTTGGTAACCACTCTGCCGCACTGGATGGAAGATTCAGGTTGGCTGGTTGAGATGGGAAATTTGTTGATGTTGGGTGAAGTTGGTTGGTTGGTGGTGATTGGTTGATGGTGATTGGTTGATGGTGATTGGTTGATGGTGATTGGTTGATGGTGATTGGTTGGTGATGATTGGTTGATGGTGATTGGATGGTGGTGATTGGTTGATGGTGATTGGATGGTGGTGATTGGTTAGTGGTGATTGGTTAGTGGTGATTGGTTGGTGATACTAGTAGAGTAAGAGCTCAAAAATTGTATTTTTTGTATTTCATGACATGATCACCGAGTTCAAATTGGCAGAAAAATGTGTGACCCCAATAAACCTTTGCGTGATCGTAACAACAATGATGGTGGTAGTGGTGATGATGAAGAAGATGATGACGATGATAATGATGATATGGTTTTGAAAATAATAAATACTGATGATGAAAATAATAGGCTATAATATGACGATGATGATGATAATGACGACGATGACGACGATGACGACGACGATGAAAGCAGTACTGAGATGTTTACTAATTTAAGTGGGCTTTTAAAGCAAATTGATGCAAAAAATTATTTCTCTTTGTTTATGCGTGTGTGTGTGTGAGCGTGCGCGTTCGGGCGTATGTATGCGTGTGTGTGTGTGCGTGTGCATGTGTGTGCTGCGGTTTTTTCAGCATTAACGGCTCATTAAATGGAAAAATGGAAATGTTGAATGTCGTGATTGTAGTATTGGCATCGTTAGTGATGGAATGGTATGGATGGAATGGTAGTAATGAGTCTACTGTTGCTGGGCATCATTATGATCACATCTGTTATCATCACATCGTCGTCATCACATCGTCGTTGTCACCATCACCACCCATCGTCGTCGTCGTCACATTTATCATCAGAGTTTCATCAACATGTAAGTACTCTTGATGGTTCGATGTCAAAATATCAATTCGATTTCGATTATTTTAGGTTACAAAAATTCGATTTTGATTTTGATTTTTTTTCAAATGAAAAGCAACACAATAATTTGCATTTAAATTTTTGGTAACAAGTTTCTGGCATAATTTCTAATTTTAATTTGATAACATTCTTTTAAAAAGCAGTTAATCAAATAAAGGATGTTAAAGTTTAGTCCAACCGCAAGTTATGACATAAAAAAACTAATTGTTCCACATGTTCTGGTTTTAGTCGGTTTCGTCGTTCATTTATTATTTGACCAGACATGGAGAAAATCTGTTCACTTGGCACAGATGTAGCATGAATTGCAAGATACTTTCTTGCCACTTTAGCAATTGTTGGAAAGCGAGATGCATTATCGGCCCACCACTTGTAAACAGATTCTTCAGGAGCAATAATTTGTTCTTGAAGAAAACAGTCCAGTTCACTTTTCATTCTATCTTTAGGTGATTGACGTTGCTGTCCTTCAGCAGCAGCAGCAACCATATCTTTAAATGTTCCCCATAACTATATTTGTGAACAGTCGAAAGGAGCCGACTCTTTTTTTCCAACTTCCTCTGCATTAGATGCTTTATTTACAGATTGTGCACCAGGTGAAGGAAGTGTAGATGTATGTTCAAAGATCATTTTATCTACAACGTCATCGCAAGCATTTTTTGAGGCTTCTTCATTTGTAAATGCATATCGTTTAAATCTTGGGTCAATTAAGCTTGCCATCGCAAACACCTTATTTTTTTCGTGATCTGGCCAACGTGCCTTAATGCCCTGAACTAATGTAGTTTTCAAGTTGATGTGTTCACCGCTGACACTAAAATCTTCCATTTTTCTTTGCAAAATATTCAGCAACGGTATGACCATTGTGAAGCAGTTGGATATCTTGTGCCAGAAATAAGCTTGGTGGCTTCCTCAAAAGGTTTAAGAGCCTTGATAAAATTGGCAGCCATTCTCCATTCTTGTGCAGTTAGGTTTTCTATTGTGTCGCTTGAAGCCAGTAACATACTCAATGCATCTTTTTGTTCTACAAGTCGTGACATCATATAATAAGTCGAATTCCATCTTGTTACGCACTCCATCTTAAGTTTGTGTGTAGGGAGATTCAACTGCCTTTGTACCACCAGTAAACGTTGTGTTGCTTTACTGCTGCGATGAAAATGTGCAACAATAGCTCTCGCTTTAGTCAGGAGCGTTGTTATCTCTTTATTGCTGTTGATAGCATCCGTGACTACTAAGTTTGTAGTGTGTGCAAAACATGTAAAATGTTGAAATGTTGCGAGCTGTTTCATAGCCGACTTCATATTAGCTGCATTGTCTGTAATAACAAAAATCGGAATATTGACATTTGGTATCCAGTCTTTTACGCAGTCATCAATAGCCTGAGCCAAATTTCTACCAGTGTAGCTTTCTAGAAAATGAGTTGCTTTAAGGCATTCGTTGTGAATGACGAAATTTTCGTCAAGATAATGAGCCGTGAAATATTTTTTATACGTTTTATATTTTTCATTTTAATTTCTTTATTGATTATATTTTTCATCAAATTATTGTAATCGAAGAAAGTGGTGTGGGTGTATGAGAAAGCAAATTTCATACCTCTACCCAACAAGTTGATCACTTCATCTCTAAGAACCCTTTTACTCAGGTTGAGAACTTCATACAAACCTGGGATGATTTCTTTAGACAGTTTGTGGCGATCAGGCAACTTGTAACGTGGCTCCAAAGACTTGCTGTATGCCACAAAACCTTTATCTTGTACTATGCTGTAAGGCTGTAAGTCGGTACATATCATTTTTGCCAACGTCAAAGTAGCTGCTTTAGCTCGGGGATGGTTCGGTTCCCATTCTTTCACAGAGGTCGAATAGTCAAACATACTAGTTTGACCTTTGTTATCATCCTATAGTGGCAAGATATATTAACTACTTAACTAATAATAACTTTAAATGAATATTCATTAATTTAGATTTATAACAGTTGCAATGTTTTTAATTTTTAAAATGAAGAACAAAACAAATTTTAACGCACCTTTTTTTTCGATTCTTCAACGCAAGATTTTTTGGCATTTAGTTCTTCAGACAAACTTGGATGCGTATTTTGCAAATGTTGCTTCAAGTTCGAAGTGTTTCCCGTTGGAGCCTTCACTTGCTTTTGGCATACATTGCACGTAGCATTTTCTGCATTATTTCGTGTGAAATATTCATATATAACGCTGCGTTTTTTGTATTCCTTAGTGTAAGCTTTATTACTACAACTCATACTTTCTTCTTCGTGTGTCACGTTAATAAAAAATTAAATAAAGTAACTTAATCTAAATAACTTGAACTCAATCGAAAAACAAGATGGAAAACGCCCGCGTTAAAAATTCAAATTCAATCAACTTTTAACTCTAACCAAAGAAAGATAATAAAAAAATTTAAACTAAAGTTTATCGACGATCAATGAAACGATGCTATCATCATACATGTTATGTTATTTTACGTATATGGATGCTATATAGACCCAAATAAAAAAAAACGGTGGAATATTTTTATTTTCCATACACGCTTTAAAAAATCGAAATCGAATTGTAGAACAATTCGATTCGATAATCGAAATCGAATCGAAATCGAATCGAACTTTCGATTATCGTACCATCACTAGTAAGTACATCTTCATCGTTCTTGCGTGATCACCATACTTAAAAAAAATTAATTGCGGCATGGTTTCACCGTCCCAACAATGATGACTGGTCCTTACATACGTTTGTACTTTCACCCAAGTACCGAAACTTCAGTGTTTTTGAAAAATCAATCTTGTTAACTTGTACTGAAGTACTCTTTTTCAGTACTTAACACTTATAAATAATGGATTTTTTATATATTTTTTTAATTTTTTGCTCGTGAATGAATACAATACACGCACGCGCGCACAGACGCACACACGGACACACAGTTACAAGCACACGCAAACACGCAATTAGTAAATTTAATTTAGATTTACACACATACACACACATACTCACTCATACGTATATACAGATATACATACATACATACATTCAGCTTGATGGACCCCAACACCCTTAAATTTCTTTACATAAGGCAATATGTAAAATGATCAGCGTCAGATCAGGCGACAGCAGGGAACTGTTTTTCGCAACTAACCACATTTCGTGCTTGTTGCAGCGGTTCCTGTGTGTCTGTGTGCTTGAAAATATCCAACTGAATGCCGACATGTGCAATTAACGACAAATCAAAGTGTTAATCCATTTGTTACTTGATGTTTGACGGTTCAGTGTCACTCATCATGTTTTGGTTTTAACATACATACATACATTCAGCTTTTTAACATTAATCAAACAAACATACCTACATACATACACACCAAAGTGTTAATCCATTTGTTACTTGATGTTTGACGGTTCAGTGTCACTCATCATGTTTTGGTTTTAACATACACACACGCATACATACACACATACATACATACACACACACATACATACATACATACATAGTTTTTTTTACATACATACATAGTTTTTTTTACATACATACATACATACATACATACATACATACATACATACATACATACATAGTTTTTTTACATACATACATACACACCGACATGCATACACACCGATGTACAGAATAAACGACATCATTGTATCAGTGAACAAGGCAAACATGTGCAACATTCCTCACATGACTGCTGTTGAAATCCTGAAGAATGCCGGGGACACTGTCACCTTTGTTAGTCGGTGATGAGGATGAAAATGATGAAGATGATGAGGGTGATGATGAGGGTGATGATGATGATGAGTAGGAGGTCAGAGGTCATGGATATTAAATGATTTTCTCTATCGTTAATTTTCATCGTATAAATCTGCTTTCTTAATTTGTCCAAACACATTCAAAAATGAAAACTAGGTCATAAAGAGAAGAAGGAATCCAAACGAGGTGTCAGTTAAGTTGGAGATCATCAAAACAAATCGAGGCTAGTTCATTGGGCCACATTTTTTTGGGTCACATTTTTAGTGGGTCAGATTTTCATTGGGTCACATTTTATTGGGCCAGTTTGTTGAGGTCATTTTACCAGCTTGCTCTCTTTATCTCTAGTTCATTATCATCGGTGATTAGTGATTTGATTTGTGAGCTCTGTATAAAACTAAACCCCTTGTATTTATCGAAGCCATTTGGAGCGTTCATGTTCACATGTTCATGTATTTCTTCATAGATTCATTTGGATGTTTATGAAGGGTTAGCCTAGGTCCATGTCATTCTGAAGGAGAACTTTGTTCATTTATATATCCTATTTATATGGATCATAAATGATCATCGTTTAATTATTACGTCATCGTCGTTGTCTTCATCATCACAATATCACTGTCGTCATCATCATCATCGCTAAATCATCATCATCGTCACATCATCATCGTCGTCACAACATCACTGTCATCATCATCATCATCTCCGTCACCAGGACTCGGCTTCAGCATTGGAGGAGGGGTGGGCAACCAGCACATCCCCGGCGACAATGGAATTTTCGTGACTGACATCGTCAGAGATGGTGCTTCCTACGGAAAGCTACAAATATCAGATCGACTCATTTATGTTAGTGTTTGTGTGTGTTTGTGTGTGTGTTTGCGCGCATGTGTGTGTTTGCGCGTGTGTATGGTTTTGTACCTAAATGTTGTTTGTTGAATTTTTCTATGTTTTATGTTAAATTTCCATGGAGGAGCTAAAAATCGCCAATTTTTAAAATTTCTCTTCTTAGTTTGTTATGAATGAAGTTGTTACTAAAAGTAAAGCAGAAGTTCTGCATTGAATGAATCAATGTCTAAACACATTGGCCCAATGATTTATGGGGTGAGATAAGTTCAGAAATGAATGTTGCATGCGCTTCTGTAATGTCATCCGCGCCATGCCATGGATGGTATTGAAATTTATTTACACCCATTCATCATTCTCACCATGGTCACTGTATCATTATCATTTCTATGATGGTGATGGTCATTTTTATGGTCACTTGCTATCTTCACCGTCATACTCACCATCTTCCTCCTCCTCACTCACTCATCATCATCATCATCGCCACCATTATCATTATCGTCGTCATCTTCACCATCCTCGCCACTATCATCATCATCATCGTCACCATCGTCGTCGTCATCTTCACCATCATCACCGCCATCATCATCATAATCTTAAAGGTGAACGGGGTGAACTTGGAGAACGTGACCCACGACAAAGCAGTGATGGTCCTGAAATCGACCCAGGATCGTGTGGTGATGATCGTCGGGAGGAGGGTGGGGGAGGGGCTAACAAATGTCAATCATCATCAACTTGAGGCCGGCAGGTCGCAGTTTAATAACAATACAAGCATGGGTTCGTCAGCTGTTATCGTTGCTAACGTTACTACTGCTGCTGTTGTTATGTTAATCAGATCGATGTGACGAGCTTCATATCCTATTTGAGTGTAGACATGTGTAAACTAGCAAACAATACAATACCATGCAATGCAATACAATACAATGCGATACAATACAATGATATACAATACAATACAATGCAATACAAATACAATACAATACATTGTAAGACAATACAACACAATACAATACAGTATTTTTATATGACCTCAAAACAAATGACCAACCAGGCCAGCGTGCCAATTCAATGGACCTCATAACACAGAGCGATTCCATGGCTATCAACAACATCAACAACTCCATCACTACAGCAACAACTCTCAACGCCAACATCAACAACAACAACAACAACATGAACATTAACACTAACAACAACATTTCATTGAACGTCAACAACAACAGCGGCAACATAAAATGTCAATCATTCTTGGCTCCTCCCACGTTCAGTGACTCGTCAAAAGAATTTGATTTTGACACCTCCCCCATTTATGAAGATGCCCTCTTTGCGGCTCCTCCCTCTGTTGGCATTAACCCTTCCATACCGAGGTTTGTTGGAACTTGTATGTATGTATGTATGTGTGTGTGTATGTATGTATGTATATATGTATGTATGTATAATTATTATTATTGGTGTGTTTGTAAGTGCCCTATGAAAAGATCTCAGAGGCGCAAGTAATGGAAAAAAACATTAGCACGGTTAAGCTTGGACGAAATTATGGTGTTTCAACCTTCTTCAAAATTGAATATCGAACAACGCAGAATCGCGAAGATCCCTAGGCAAATCATTCCAGACAGCAGGATCCATTACGGAGAAATTTCTTCGACCAAGAGCCAAACAGACAACAGTAAACATGAATTGTTAGAGCGCAATGTTTGACTCAGCATTTGCATTGTTTAAGGAATGACTCTGTCAGTTAAATACTTAAAGGCAACTCCCTTAATGCATTTAAAAATCATTAAACATATCCTGAAAATAACTCTTTGATAAACCGGAAGCCGGTGAAGAGCTAAAAGAATTGGCTTAACGTGATCGTGTTTAATGCCACCTGAAACCAATCTTGCAGCCCAATTTCGCACCGACTGTTGTTTAGACATATTCACACCACACAGGCCGTAATATAGACTATTGCAATAGTCAGTTTTTGAGTGGATATAGGAATGGACAAGAAGACATTGAAGAGTATGCTTGTTTAAAGATCGTTTGATGAGCCTACTCACTTGTTCAGAGCATTCTTCTTTCGAAACTGCTCCAGTATGAACGTTAAAAGACATGTTATTATCAAAAACAAATCCCAAGTTGCGTGCAGATGTTGCAAAATTCAATGTCAGAATCACCAACTCTGATAGACTCAATTTTCATTTTTTCCAATTGTTGCCTAGTGCCAACCAGTAAAAACTGAGTTTTCGACTGATTCAATTCTAGCCTACTTGCCACCATCCACTCAGAGAGACATGATCTGAGTCCACAGGCCACATCATCAAAACGGCAGAAAGGGGCACCGGCAATGACTTGAATATCATCGGCAAAACCGTGAAGTTTGAAATTATATCTGTCAATGATTTTGAAGACATCTGCAGTGTACAACACGAACAGGAGGGGACCGAGATTCGGCCCCTGTGGAACACCCTATGCCCCAGTTCCTTCCAACATGTGTCAAGTTAGATCTGAACAGAATCTCTTGTGTACGACTCAATCCATTGAAAAACAACACTCGATACTCCAAATGAATATTGGAGCTTGCGTAAAAGTAATGAGTGATCGACAGCACCAAAGAGATATATATATACTTCTTAATAGGCAAACAGTCATGGAAGCATGATTTAGTAGGGGTGTCAAGTATAACTTTTTTAATACAATCACTAGAACAAGTTGAAAAGCCAGAAGATGGTAAAGTTTCGTGTAAATTGCAAGGAGTGTATGTATGTATTTATGCATGTGTTTGTTTGTGTATTTGTGTTGGTGTATATGTGTACTTTTGTATGTATGCCTGTCTTATTTATGCATGCATGTCTTATGTATGTATGTATGTATTTGTATGTGTATGTTGTTTCATACTTATGCCTATGTGTATGAATGTGGAAAGTTGCTTCCGGAAACCTTTCTGTAGCTACAACTACAGCGCTATATAAATTAAAACATTTTTCAATGTGTGTATGTGTCGATTAGTCTGTATGTATTTATATTTATAGAAGTTTTTCGAATTACATCCGCTTAGATTTATTTGTCTTTTTTGCATTTGAATTTGAGTTATTTTTGGTGTTTCAAATGTTAACCTGGTGTGGTTGTTGGGGAATTTTTTTAATCCGTCTTTGTTTGTTAATAAATTTATATATATATATATTTTATATTTTGTGTGTAGTACCTTGTATGTGTGTATGTGTATGTGTGTGTGTGTGTGTGTGTGTGTGCGCGCCTGTTCTAGTTTGTCAAAGTTTGATTTTTTGTAAAGATTGCGAATGAATGACGCTTCGTTATGGTTGCGGTATCGACTATAAAGCAGCAGATCAACTCGATACATTCATTTTTTTTCCTTCGTAACATTTTGTTACGAAGGAAAGTTGCAAAAATGCCAATCTGTGGTCTATAAATTGATTGCCTCAGACTGAATTATTGATTAGAAGCCTACAGGCGTCATTTATCGTGCATTTGGCTTTCCCCATTCTAATCCTGTCTAGGAGTTACATTTTGAGGTGTCGTTTAATTTAAGAAAATCTATTTTCAAGCGTATAATGTTTTTTTTAAGATGTTTTTCATGCGGATTTTCTATAGAAGTTTATTTTAAAAGTAGTAGGAAATATAATGAGGAAGCTTGTTTCATATATCAAGAGTGTTTCAAGAGTTGAATGTTTTTAAGTGTAGGTGGGGATAAGAATGCGTTATTAAATTTGTTATGCTACTTAAATAAAATCAAATCCTATAGTGTTCTATGCCTGCCAGAGCTGTTATTATGTTAATAGTAATAGTGTACCAACTTCTGTAATGCTAATACTATGCATGATATTTGAATTTTTACTAGAATTAAAGTATTATTGTTTCTAAATACTTTTTAAATAATTATGGTTATTTTTAGGCTAATTAAAATATTTGGCAAAACTTGAATACTTACATAAATTTTTTCACCATTTGTCTTTCTTTCTCTCTCTGGTTCTCTTTTTTTCTGCGTCTCTCTCTCTCTCTCCCTCTCTCTCTCTCTCTCTCTCTCCCTCTCTCTCTCTCCCAGTCTCCACGCACAACATGAATACATTTAATATTCTGTTAATGTATTTATGTATGCAGATACAATACATTTATTTATTTTGAAAAAAACTGTCGCAAAAAAATTTTTGTTGTGAACCATTTTTTGCTTTAAAAAAGAAAGTTGAATCACTAAATTGATGTATGGGTAGAAGTGTGTGTGTGTGTGTGTGTGGTGTGTGTGTGTGTGCGTGCGTGTGGTGTGCTTGATGAATAATTAACAAGGGTAATTGTCAGAGGTCAAAGAGAGAGAGAGAGAGAGAGAAAGAAGAAAGAGTGAGAGAGGGAAAGATTTGGATTTGCAGTTGCATGAATGAATGAGGTGGTTTTAATTAGTTGTTGTTGAGTTGTTTGAATTTTAATAAATGTGATGAGATTTGGTGTTGACGTCATGTCAAATAAATCGTCCTTATCGCGATGCAATTTAATTGCATCGCGAAAGATATTCTGGGATGCGATATTAAGTATTATGATGTTAAGATTGCACAACACGCACTCTCTCTCTAAAGATAAAAATTAAATAAAATGTTCAAATGTTCAAAAATGTTTATGTATTATGATGAATTATGATATTATTCAATCAATCAATCGATCGATCAATCAATCAATCAATCAATCCAATCAATCGATCAATCAATTGAAGTATGCTAATAAATATTGAATTTTAATAAATATTGAATTTTATGAAATTCAATAAATAAATACTATAAATCAATCAATTAATAAATCAATCAATCGATCGATCAATCAATCAATCAGTTCAATCAATCAATCAATCAATCAAATATATTTATATAGCGTACACTTCTACTATAATTCACTGACGCTGTGGCCAAATTAGATAAACAAATAAAGTGCTTCTAACTGGTTAAATAATAATGATGAAATGAAATTGTTTTATGAAGTGATCTAGTGTACTAATGTTATCCGATGGGATATGAAATTATATGTGATGTGATGAGATTGAAGTGGTTGAAATTAGTTGCTA